GAACCGAGCAGTGCAAGCAGAAAAAGTTAAATGGAAGAATAAAATGAAGGGAGAAGCAGGTTATTGATGTGCTTCCTCTACCCCAGCACCCTAACGGTCTCCAGCCTCCTCCAGGGGCCGTAAACCAGAAATGGAGTTTTTAACAGCATTCACCGGCTGCCTGCTAGGCTCCCATGGTGTACTTTACAACACCCATATACACACATTCTTCTTTACACACTGAAATGCACAATTGTTTTTGCATAGTTCTGTACTAAACTTCCCCTTAGCTGTAAGAGAAAACTTTCTAAAGTCACCTTGAAGATGATAAAAGTCTCTGTTACACACACATACACACACAACGGCCTCTCCTCTTGGGTTATGACTGAGAAGCACTTTTAGCTCTGATTGGCCGAAGTAAGGGCTGAGCATAAACAGCCAGTGGTTGTGTTTCATATTGGCTCAGGCTGTGGTGATTTATCGTGGCGGGACCAAATCTTATTTGATGTGTTTGTACGAGGTGCAGCAGTAATTAACTCTAAGGCCGCACTTCTGTGGGAGGCCCTTGCTCAAGAGAGAGTAGGCACGCAGCAGCCTGGAACAAAACATCGCTGCAAATCCTCCCGACTGGCAGCGTAATAAATTAAACAGAAAATCATTTGTCATGCTCTGGTGTGTTTGTGTAGCTCTAGTATTGAAGAGGAGGGTCTGTTTTTCACAGTTTTACCTGCTTAATGTTCACTGGAGAAAGGTCACATTTTCTTCTTTGCCTTTTTTTTGTTTCGGTCCAAGAAAGTACCTTGAGCTGAAGCAGTGCCCTGGTTACGTGCTCAGAGCTAGTCAGAGCAGCTAAAACATGGGCGTGCATCATCATCCAGGCTTTCATTGGTCAGTCAGGTAGTCTTTATTCCTGCCCCCATTTTCATGACTCACCTCGTGTGTCCTGAGTGGAACCGTAGCTCTTCCAAATATCCTCACCCCTCCCTCCCTGCCTCACCTCTCCAGGCACAGTTTAAACACCTCTTTACCTCCTCAACCCTCCCCCTCTATCCTGTTTGAACTCTGAGGGTCCTTGAGCTGTCGAGCAGCAGTGGCCGAGCTAAGCTTAAAGTTCTTCAGGGTTGTAATTCAACACATGGACCAGTTGTGAGTGCAGACCGGTGCTCGGGATATACAATCCATCATCTCTGCACCTCTGCCTCTTCGCTGTGCGCTGAACGAGACCTGAGAAGCAGAAAAGGATTAGATGAAAGCAGATTGGAGCATGAGGGAGTATGCCAGAGAATTGTGAGTGAAATGTAGCTATGAGCATCACATCAGTGTCAGGTGAAGTCAGCTGCTGTGGCTTGCCCTTTTGTATAAAAATATACATCAGGATGACAGAAGGATTCCCAGAAGCTTTAAGAGTGAACATGTGCTTGAAATGAACTATTTTTAGCTCTGTTGTGTTGCTAAATTAACTGTGCACGCGTCCCTCTTTATACTCTCTGCGACTTTCCCTCCTCTCCTTGTATTCCCTTTCTTTACACTTTTAGAAAAAGATTTTTAGAGGGAGATGGTGGTACTAGTTCTACAGGAGACTACAGGAGTGCTAAGTGAAATGTGAATGACAACAGTTTAAATGAATCACATATAACTCTGGTGTAATTTCATGGAGAAACGCTGCACTGGGCTGACATGGGCGCTTTCTGTGGGCCTGGTGGTGCTTAATGATACTGGCACGGTGATGTATGACATCGCAGTGAAAGCCCGACACCGTTCCCCGACTCATTTCCACACATGGTTAACTCTTTCTCCAAGGTTCTGAACGGCCAGTTTACTGAAAGCACGAGGCCCTCTTCCACTGGGAGTTTGCACTGACTGATTACAGCAGAGCTGCTTGCATACACCATGACTGAAAAGACACTCTGTCATGGGTTGTTTGTATGCTGCAATACACAGCTGACATTAGACGGACAGCTTAGAGAGCATGAGTCTTTGGTAACAAGACATTTTTATTTTCCTTTCAGTGCTGTTTTAACAAAAGGTTACCAAAGGTCAAGCAATTATTTCTTTGGCCTTTATCAACCTCTTATCAAGTGAAGTTTGACTGCAGCCTCCCAAAACCACCACAGTCCGTCACAAGACTACCAGTAAGGCAAAACCCAGTCCTCTAGAAACTTATGGCTTAGGTATATTCAGTTCCTAAAAAACAAGGATAAGGAAAGAGAGTTTGTTTCATAGCTATCATTGACTGATTTCTAATGGTTTTCTTTTTCAGCTTTAGATTGTGGAAATTGTCTCATTTTATAAGTCAAATGCACAGAGACCAGACTTCAGCCTTTGTAGAGACACAGGAAAAGACAAACTAGGCATGTGTGTCAGTGACCTTTTCCTTCACAGTTGGGTAGTTTTGCTTCTATATTGTTGACCGATGACCAAGTTTATTAAGTTGGGTGTGGAGTCGGGGGCAGAATGGTGTCTTTCAGTTTATTACTATGGGATGTATCTTGTTTTCAGGTTTGCAACATTTCTGTGTATTGTCTTTTGTAGAAATCTTTTGGTAAAGTTTTATTAGTTATAAAAAAAACAAACTGGATGATTGGCATGAAAAAAGAACATTACAAAAGTTATTAACCAGTGTAGTAATTCAATTTTATTTTATTTTTATACCACCAAATCTAAATAACGGTTGCCTCAAGGCGTTTGATATTGTAAGGTAAAGAACCTGCAATAATACAAAGAAGACAGAGAAAACCCGAGCAATCATATGTGACCCGCTATGAGTAAGTGCTACAGGCAACGGTGAGAAGGAAAAACTCCCTTTTAACAGGAAGAAATCTCCAGCAGATCCAGGCTCAGGGAGGAGCGGCCATCTGCTGCAACCGGTTGGGAGTGAGGGAAGGAAGATGTGCTATGGAAGAGAGCCAGAGATTAATAATAAATGATTAACTAACTAGTACAACTTTATTTCCTAAAAAGGTTGCGATGCTGTGTAAACCCTTTTTTTTCTGCCATTCACAAATTAGAAACAGATCAAGGGCAACAAAAGACTGGACAAGCTGCTGAAAAATACCCGTTGGAACATCTGAAAATTAATTTGGTTATTTGTTGATGATCTTTGGGTCCTTAAAGGAGCAGCTTTAATAAAGCAATTGGTGCGTAGCTCAGCTACCATAGGGTGAGATGCGGGGTACACCCTGGAGAGGCCACCAACCTGGCGCAGGGCTAACACAGAGAGACACTCACACCTATGGGCAATTTTAATATATAAACATATGCTATCAACGCACAGTTAAAAAGAGAGCATTTCCAGTGGGATCAGTGTGCACTATTGCACATGGCATGGGTAACTTTACCATCTGTGAGTGCTGGTGTGTTAATGCTGAATGATATATGCAGGTCTTGGAGCAGCATCACTCCCTTCAAGTGACTGCTTTGCTTATTTTAGTAAGACAGCGCCAAACAATATTCTCCTCTAAGATTTCTTGTCATGTGTACTTTTGGTTTGGTTACTTGTTTTTAAATACTCTTTCTGAAAGTGATTCAGTAATAAGGTTGTAATAAACTAGAAAGTTTCCACCACTGTTCTCTCCCAACATAGCAGTGGCCCCCACTTTCCACACCCAAATATGGAATATTCTTATGTTCCATTACAATTTGTCACACAGTGGTTTTTGTTTTTGTAAAAGCCCCCACAGAGAAACGCCACGGCTGTTTGCCCTCCTTGTAGTGAAGTGACAGCCCCAGAGCACAGCACCAGCAGCAGATTCTGTGACAGCACCGTTGGCATGGAAACGAGTAAGACATGACAGCAGCGATGGCGGACAGTTTGCTGGAGAAAGCTCCACTGTCAGCATTTTCTCTCGTCGTCCTCCTCTAACCTCCAGCTATGTGGAGCGCGCAGCATGCGGAGAGGAGGCAGGCCGGGGATGGAGAGCGTGAGAGGATGCTTGTTTGCCATTTGGGTAAACATTCATTTACCTCCAGCAGTCAAACGTGAAGTTAATCAGAGTGATTATGCGTCATAATCAGCAGCGCCTTCTCACAGCCTCACCGATCACTCGTGCATCGCACTGTAGACGCGCTGCCTCCTTGCTGCCATCTGGGGATCGCGACACATCTGCATTCATACACGCACGCTCACAGACAATCTTGCTTATTAACATACATTAAACCACATTGCCTTTACACACATCATCATTTCTGTAAGCGACAGTGCGTTCAACTCCTACTGCAAAGGCCTGAGCTCAGCAGCACTGTAGTGCTGCAAGGCATCAGGAAGACTTGTTTTTATGAGCAGTTACTCATTTCTGGTTTACTATGGACACACGGATTGATTTCAGTCTAATTGTTTTCTGTCTTTTGATTTATTCATTCATTTATTTAATTTTTATCAGTGCATGATATGTCCAGTTTTATTTCCCTGAACTTTCTATAAGGTGAATAAAAACAAAATCCACACACATCAGTAGTGCACTTGAGCAAATATGACATATGTAGCTGCATGTATACTTTATAGCATTTTGGTGTTTTGGTGTTTCTTTGTTGTTTGCTAACACTATAGAATGTAGAAAATACTGAAACACTATCCTTCTTTTACAAAAAATGCTCTTTTTTTCCTCTCAGTTTTGGTTCAGTGCTTTGGGACTTCCTGCCTTTGTTAGTAATCCTACCTGACTAGAATATATTAAGACAAACTGATGGTAAAAATCTTGTCTTTCTTTAAACTCTGAGTTTCATTTGCAGATTTTTACGTGGTTTTTGGCTGTAACTGTTTATATTTGATTTCTTTTAATTCATATTACTTCAAAACTGATGATTTACTGATGTGTCTTATTAACAACCTTTATATTTTGAGAAAAGTTCTACTTCTTGTGGAAAGTTATCCCTCAGGGGTAGATTTCAGCTCACAGATGAGTTAATGATGACGCATCCCTTCAAAGAGAAAGAGGGAGAGACCCTCCAGTTAAATGTAATGTGACTTCAGTATAAAAAGGTGTACTGTACTCATATTTCGCTGTCTTTGATATTTTCTTTAGGGGAAGAGCTTCAGGGAAAGATCACTGTGCGCAAAAACAAGAAGGATCCACGATCACTGTGGGTTACCTTTGAACTCCGAGACAGGAAGCAGACTTATAGCCTCCAATAAGGACAACCATCACATGGTCCTTGCCACGAGTAGTTCGAAAGAATTAATACCTTAAGTGTTTTAAATGTTGGTATTGTTCTTGGCTTTTGAAATAAAACATACTGTAATATGAGATTTCCTCCTTGTCAGTGTCTTTTTGTGCACATTCAGTGTAACTACACAAAAATGCACATTCAGCGTGACTATGTGTTTATTTTTACACATACTGCCAAATGCATGCTGTTGAAATAGTAACTGCAAATGGTTAACAAAGGATCAAGGCTTCTTTGCTCTTTGTGCACTTAATTGTTTTATTTATTTAATTTTACCTTGATAAAATTGACATTTTCCCATTAGAGTAAAAAATTATCATTTTCCACCTTTAATGTCCATCTTTTTTTTTTTTTCCCCCCACAGTTATAGCTTCAAGTCTGTCATACTGAAACAGGAGCCATCACACCAGCCACAGGTTCTGTGGACATTTAGCGCAGGTTTATCTGGGTTAGGTTTATGCCTGAATTTACTCTTCTCTCGGTTAGGATGAGTGTCACTGTCCCTGCTGCCAAGAATCAAGCCCGTAGCATCATATTACCACCAGGAACCATGTTTTACAGATAGCTATAGACACTTTTTGAGTTCATCACTGCATCAGACCTGTTGCCACAGATTTCCAGTCCAGTTTTGGTGTAATTTGGTATACTTCAGCCTTTTCCCCTCCCTTTCTTAATGATGGCTTCTTGATGGCCATCCTTCCACTGAGAGCATTTCTGATGAAGTTTTGGCCGCTTTGGCCTGAACATACCATTTAAAATTCGTTCTTTACTAAGTTGTCTGTTATTTGCGAACACAGCATTGGTTCATGCCTTAAGTTATCTTTGTCAACAAGTCAATAAAACGAATTACAAGTCTGAAGCCCAGAAATCAAGATGTAAAGAAAAAATGAGTGACTCAAAGTTGCTTGAGTTCTACCCAAAAGAGTTTTTAAGATTTATCTTATAATATAATTAGAATCTTTTTTCCTGGGGTAGTCTTGGGTAATCACTGTGCTTGTGGAAACCATCACAGTCATCTTGTAGTTCTACGGTGTTCCATAGACATTATGACTCAGTGTGCACAAGCAGTGTGAATGTTTGCTGCCTTTAAAATACATCCAGACTTTTATGTGTCACAGAGGGTCTCAAATCAAATTCAGTCAATGTTAATCAAGAAGCACAAAGTGGAGCACCAAAGGCAGAGTATATTTTTATAAAGAAAAGATTTCCATTGGGGATCATTAAGTAGAGGATATCAGCTGGCCAAACTCTTGTCTAAACCATTTAAAGTCAGTTCAGCAATCAGAGAGGCTGAATATTTTTCTGAAGCCACTGTACATGCAACCTTGATGTCTGAAGATTGTTTAAGAGTTAAAGACAGCGTCAGGTGCAACCTTAAGTCTTTCTCTTCAAATCCGCAATTTTACTAATTTCACTAATTCTTCAAATCATCACTCACATACATCTCTGCCTCATCCAAAGGAGGCTGCTCTTTGTTACAGATTGTGTGCGCTTGCCAGGTATCCCTCCTTATTGTCCTACTTTGAGCTGTGTGATACCTCAGCAGGGGCATCATCCATCTTCCGTGAGTTTACTGGGACAATGCAAAAATGAATTTAAGCTTTAAAAAGGCTGACTGAAGCCTCTTTACATAATTCACCGAGCAGCTCTGCTTACAATTAAAGCCCCCCCCCCTCCGAGAAAGAGGAGTCATCTGTGAGGAGGAGCAGCGGACTCTGGGCCTGGCTCCCTGTCTTAATGATGATTTGACGGTCACATTTCTACCGCTTCCCTGTCGTCTCTGGCATTCTATTCCTACAGTGTGCTGTACAAGGTGACATCAAACAGGGCGAATGCTTTTTTTGTGTACATATTTTATTTTTTCTTGCAAAGTTGGATTCGTGGGATTTTGGTTGCGTGGAGTCAGCTCTTTAACTACGCTCCATTCAGTAGTGTCATTTTTGGCTGGACTGCGAGGGACCTGCATCTAGAGACTTTTACGGAAATCGTTCAGCATCATTCCCACATTTTCTGCGGTGTTGTTTCATAATAAACAAGCACTGATGTGTCATTTGATAAAACTGACGAAAAAAAGAATTCACAAAGCTGGCACCGCCGTGATTAAAAGCCTTAAAAGAGCCTAATAACGCGCCTTTGTTCACAATTGATTATGTTTATTGTCTCACAGCCTGTGCCATTCGTTTTCTCCACATTATTCTGTAAAAAAAATGACGCTCATTCTGAGAGGTAATCAATTTTGTAAATCTATTGCACTTAAACGCTCATTTACAAAGCAACATATTTATGACACATTCATTGCTTTGGGTTGGATCACTGTGTCTGAAATAATAATGAAAACGAACGTCAAACAGAAGGAGAAAACAATCCCGAAGCTCAAAGAATTTTCTTTACTTACAACGAAATAGCTCCTTAAATGAAACGAACCCAATTTATTTATAAACACCTTGGGGTCTTTGTCACTGGACGAACTTGAACTGCAGTGTGTGAAGGCTCTGTCAGGCCCGACTGATGAGGATGCTGATAATGGGAGTCGTGTGCCTCGGCATGACCCCCCCCCCCCAGCTCACCCCCCTCCGCTGAATCACGGCTTCCCAGGCGTTAGAATTGGTGCGGCTTCTTATCGCAGGCGACAGGGGGAGTTGATCAATTATTACGAGAGCCACATATTAGAGGCACGAGGAGAAACTTCGGCGAGAGCCGTCACATCCTCCGTTAGGATGCAGTCCGCTCAAAGTAAGAAAAAACATATAATAATTATATTATATATATATAATATATATTATATATATTATATATATATATATATGATATATATATATATTATATATATATATGCTGACACAGTAGAATTTAAACAGTTGCAGGATGTGACGCATCTAATGCGCACTTTCTTCACTTTGGTGCGCGTGTGCAAGTAGTGTAAACCACGCTGTCTCTGAAGAAAATACAACAAACCGGGGTCTTTTTGGCAGTGGGCGTGTATGTGCGCGCGCGTGTGTATGTGTGTCAGTCCGCGCGCACAGCGGTCTCTGGAAGAGGAGCAGAAATCAATTACAATTATTCTCTGTTGACAATATAATTAAACTCAAGGCTGTGGCTAATACAGCCGCTCCAGACTCTTATCTGGAACGGACGGAGATTTACAAGCGCAAGCAGCCCGGCGTGCATAGCAAGCGAAAGGCCCCGAGTGAGACCCTCGCGTGTCCTGCTGGTACCACACCGATCACAGCGGGCGAGCAGAAACTGCCCCAAACTTCCCCAGCTGTCCAAAATACATAAATAAATTAATAACTTAAAAAGAAAAAGAATCAGGGCATTAAACGGATATTTAATGTACTAGTTTATTACAGCGGTTCAGATGACGTGTTTAAAAGCGCTCCGAGTGCTCAGAGAAGAAAAATGCCATAACGACCAGTTCACAATATAGCAAGTTAGTTTAAAACATAAATTATTATTTTCGTTTATTTATTTTATTGTTTTTAGAGGCTCTTTGAGATTTATATCACATGTTAGTGAACGCTACCTGGTTAAACAACGTACTTGACTGGCAGCGAAGCACTAATTATTTTTCCGTTCACTGGGATTGACCTGACTTGACTTCACTCTTGTGAGCAAACTTATGTCCACGTTGCCGGAAAGGGTCAAGAGGAGCCAGTTTGGCTTGTTTCCGACACAGTTTACCACCCGTCCCGTGGCCTTTGTTTTCATTTAAGCTCGTAATTAACGCTCCATTCTTAAATCATCAGTTCACCAGTGGGGTTTTAGTTTGGGGGTAAAACACAACTCACGGGACACGTGTACAGCGAGATTCGGAGAATACGCAATGCAGTGTTTTAGACTGTACAGTATGCCCCCCTCCGCCTCTTTGGGGTGTCACTGCTTCCAGTGAAGGCTCCAGTGGTTGGCTCCGGCTCCCCTTAAAACACGTGACTTTAACTTAAAAAAAAAAACAGAAATCTTCTTGCGTAAGACTTTAACAAATGAGTAGCTTTGTCAAGACCTCGCCCACTTTTTTTTCTCTGTATTTGATCAGTTTCCTATTGGTGACGCACGAAGGAACGTATAGAGCCCAGAGCTTTGTGCGTAAAACCCGCCAAGTGGAAAAACTATTTATAGTTCAGGCCATTTTTAGCACATGGTGTATTCCACCCATACAACTTCTGAAAATGTGTGTGTGTGTGTCTAATTGTAATTGTTGAATGTGAATTTATGAGAATAACTATAAAGAACTCTCTCATCTTTGATTGTCAGCTTAAGGCACAGTCTTAGTTTCTTTTCTGTAAAATAAAGTATTTGATGTTGCTACGCTAATTGGAACTACTGGCTTATCCTGGCTCAGCACAATGCAAACATTACTTAGGCCTCGGTGCACTCCAGTCTATTCAAATTCCCCCCAATAATTACCCAAACCTGGAAATCTTTATCCAGACAAGCCACGTGAGATCAAGTGGGACGCTCCCCTGCATGCGTGTAAACATCCCACACTTCCTTAGAGACAAGTGTATTAATCAGGTTTTGGAAGGCTCTGTCCGGCGCTCACGCATTCAACGTGCGTAACCAGACAATTCACGCACGCACACACGCGCCCCCGTCGTCTTGTTCTCCTGTTGTCCCTTTAAAAATCCGAATCCAAGGCCAATGATTTATCAAACTCCTATTATCAAGAAAATGTCACAGGAAGGGCACCTTGCTCTGCACTGACGCAAACCCCACTCTTTCCCACGGAGCTATAGAAAAGCTTTGCAGTTGGTACTTTGCGGAGCTACAACCAGTCCGCTTCTAGTCGTCTCCTCATCGGGTTTTTTTTCTTTACAGCTGTTTCCAGCCTGCTGGCAGAGCTCTGCAAAAAATGGTAAGTGTTCCAAACTAATTCGTGTAACTATTCTCCTGCAGTTTCATCTATCTATCCTCTGTCATCTGAGTGTATTCTCTTCTGTTTTTATGCTAATCTGGCACTTTTCTTGCAGGGGGGCACTGTTTAACGCTTTCAGGCGCTCGAGCTGTCCGTGGTGCTGAAATGCAGCTGTGGCTTCACACTGAAAAACTTTAACCGCCTTTTCTCTTCTGTGTCACCTAACCTTTTTATTTCTTTATTTCCGTTTTTAGAGAAAGATTTCAATGGGAAAGTTAACATTTGGTTGATCATGTCTATTTTTGTAATCTTTTTTTTTTCTCAATTTACTCGCTCTCTACAGACTTAAACGGAAGCCAGGTAGTTAGTCCCCCGCTAAAAACACAACTAAGAAAACAACAAACCGATCAGTAATTTTTCTTTTCTTTTAAGGATTTATTCCTGTTGCCCCCCCCCCCTCCCCCCAAGTTACATTTCAGGGGAGTCATTTGTAATTCCACGCCCGTGGTCTGCTCACCGCTGGTAACGCCGGCGATCTTGCATGCCTGCGGGGAGAGCGAAGCCACCGAGAGACCCGCAGCAGCTTGTCTATTGCCCATAAAAATCAGTGGATGTGTGTGGCTGAATGACATGAGGGGGGAAATGGGGCGTAAAATTAAAGAATCTTGCAGAAAGCGAGAACCGGAGAAGCAAAAGCAACCCCCTCCCTCCAACAAGCACAAGAAGCACTTTCTCCACACACACACACACACACACACACACACACACACACACACACACACACACACACACACACACACACACACACACACACACCCGGCAGACATTGAGCTGAAACTATGGAGCGACCAGAGCCACAGCATACAGCAGAAAAGGGAAAGAGCGTAGTTTTTATTATGATTTTTTGTTTGTTTGTTTGTTTTTAGTCCCAGAGCAGCGATGGCCTGCAAACGCCTGCTAGTTTCATGGTTTCTGCCCTGCTTTTTCCTTTTATCTCGCTGATCTGTCGCTCCCATATTCCAGGATCTGTCTGACCACAGAGACATGGCCAAACAACCGGCCAGCGCTCCCACCGGCTACATCCCTGCGCAGCAGTCCGACGGAGCCGCGGGACTTACAGGAAACAAACCGGACAACACGGCAGCGTGCCCGCCGTCCACTCCTCGCCATCACCCGGCGCCTCAGCCGCCGCCTCCTTGTAACGAGCGCAACACTTTTTGTCCCGCGGAAAATAAACCGGGGGAACCGGACAGCAATAAAGAATACGGGACGTTTAAAAACACCCCGCCGGCCGTCCCCGGATCCGTTGCCGTTAATTCGGCCTTGAGGAAGGATTCCATCGGTTCGGCCCGCGGGGGGTCCGCCCAGTACGGCGACCCGCTCCGGGCCACCGCTGAGCAGAACAACACCGCAGGCAACTGGACGTCTATGAGCCAGACCACCATCATACTGGGAACAGATGGGAACACGTCTGTTCAGCCTGGAACCGTGGCGGGGGTAAGTCAGCTAAATGAACCGTTACCTTAACGGAGGGCGGCCGCTGTGGAGGCAGGTGCGGTGTGGATGTGTTTCCGCTCGTGGCTGATCGGAGAGCTGACTGGATTAACCTGCTGCCTCCAAACAGGGGGACAGTGCCACGCAGACCTTTAGTAATATCTCTGCTGTGAATAACAATCTGTGGAACTCTAAAAAAATGTGGTAGCTACCCCAGGCATTCATTTGTGGCGGACGTGTTAAGCTGTTCATTTGTAGCCCCAGAACTTCTGAGCTGAATCAGAGGATTCTTTAAAAGTGGATCTTAAGAGGGAGCCGTCATTGTGAGGACAGACCGTGGGTTTGTTGTCGGGATGCTTAAACAGTATTGTCTGATACATAGTTCGTGGTCTTTATTTAGTTATTTTTCTTTCATGCACCGGTTCGGGAAAGCCTGTATTGGGAGTGAGAGTGGTTCATTCAGTGGTTCATTCAGCGTATTTTGCATATTGTAAGCGCGCGGAACCCCCACAGGTGTAACAGACTATGGTGAACCTCTTCGCAGTGATACCGGGTTGAATCACGCATGTGTTGTAATTTGGGTGGACCCTGAGCTATTTGCTGTCCTTGATTTGCGCAGCGTCTGTTCTGATGCTCTGCAGCAGTCTGCGGTGTCTGATCAAAACTTTAAAAACCGCTTATGTCAGCTAAACATAAGGAAAACAAAGCGCGCACACTAGGCTGTTTTGTTTATTCACGATTAGATCGCCCCTTTAGACATAAACCTATGGCTGTTTCCGGTGTTTTTATTTTTCTTATTATTTTAGTTACAATTCTAAACTTGATTTGTGCTTGGTGGTGATAACATTGTTAATGAAAAAAAGAGAACTGAATCATACTCTCGCGGTATTCTCGGTGTTCCCTGCCCACACTTGGTATGGCCCAAAAGCCCAGGTGTTATCCGGCTGATAGACAGCGCTGTATTACAGGAGACTGCGGATTGTTTCCAATCCCCAGGAGGGCATCCCCCACCACCCCTACCATTTCACACGCTCACACTTACAGAAGCAGACACACAGACACATTCCTATGCAGCGCAATGTTTGTGAATCGGAATCTATATATTCAACACAGTCTATTTCCTGAATCTGATAAATGAGGTTCTGCTGTGTAGTAGTAAAAAAAAAAAAAAAAAAGTTCTCCTGAATCGATCCTCAGGAAATGTTTTTAATCTCCGCATGAAATTCCACGAAGATTTCCAGCGGTTTGGTGGAGGTAACGGCCCTTAAGCGTAGCAGAGGATGAGACGAGTTACGTGTGTAAGCTTTGAGAGCCGCTATGGAATTCTGATTGTCGTGTGTAAAACGGAACAAAATTAAAACACAACGAACACAGTGAACAAAATGTAGATGGCCCAAAAAAACGTGTTTCGGATCGGATTCGTCAACATTTTGTAAATAAAAATGTTCCAGATTTTCCGTCAGCATGATGAATGTGGAAAAAACGCGCTTTGATCAGTGAGCATGTAATATTATTGTCTGTAAAGGACAATTCCCCCCAGAATGATGAGTTACTCTTTTTAAATATGTATTTATAATTTGTTTTTAAACTAGAGAATGTTTTTTTGTTGATGGGAGATGAGTTAGCCTGAGTGCTTCTTCTTGTAGTTACACTTAGCTTTTTTTATTTTTTAAAAAAATGATTATTATTACTTTTTCAAAACATTTTAGAGACTCAGTCAGTGTTTCCCCCCCTCAGGTTAACGAAGATGATGACGAAGGGGGAGATGAGAATAAGGCCAGAGGAAACTGGTCTAATAAACTGGATTTTATTCTGTCCATGGTTGGCTATGCAGTGGGACTGGGAAACGTGTGGAGGTTTCCTTATCTTGCCTTCCAAAACGGGGGAGGTAAGACTTTATGTGTGTGTGCGTGTGTGTGTGTGTGTGTGTGTGTGTGTGTGTGTGTTTTAAATAATAAAATAAAATAAAATTTCAGTCAAGGCCGGAATTAGCCCCATTCATTCCTTTATCCTGTTAGGCCTGTAAGCATGCGAATGCTAAGAGAACTATGTTAAAAATGAATTAAAAAAATGGTGTTATAGTGTTGGGATTTCCTCTGGTGGTGCGCAGATATAATGTGCTTACATCGCCAAGCAAAATCGACTCTCATTATTTTAACTGGCATTCTTGTCCTTGTTATAACTGCTTTATATAGGAGTTATTATCAAATAATATCTTTAAATGTTGCAGAAGTCATTAAAGGCTGCCGTATGTTTTTCCCCATATGCCGAATGTTTTTTCTTAGAAGCAGCCAAGTACACACTTCACGTTTGATGATTTTCACTTTATTCCATAGTTAGGTTCAGACTTTGGTGCTTCTGAAACTCCGCTCTGTAGCCTGGTCTTTAATTCCCCGCAGGAGCTTTTTTGATCCCCTACCTGACCATGCTGGGCATCGCTGGGATCCCAATCTTTTTGTTGGAGGTTTCCCTCGGCCAGTTTGCAAGCCAAGGGCCAGTGTCAGTGTGGAAATGCATCCCCGCTCTGCAAGGTAAACTGGCCCATCTCCTCATCTTTAAGAAATATAATTTTAAAAAAAAGAAATAAAAAAGAAATAAACATATAAAACCCAAATAAAAAATAAATACATTTTATAATCACGAGTTCTCCACTTTCCTTAAGAGTAATTTATCTATTTCGTCTCATTTATTTATTTTAGGTTGCGGGATTGCCATGTTGATAATATCTGTCTTGATAGCCATATACTATAATATTATAATGTGCTGGACACTGTACTACCTGTTCGCTTCGTTGAAGGGCTCACTGCCATGGGCTAACTGTAGGAATGAGTGGAACACGGTGGAATGTAAGGACAAAGACATGCTGCTGTTAGGTAAGACACACACCTTCACACACACATACACACACACACTAGAAAAGCACCCCACTCTCCACAATACGCAATGCGTCATGCCTCCCTCAGCTAAGGTGTCCTGCAGTATAATGAATACTGACCTGTGATCTCTGCGGCGTTTCACTCTGAAAAATACTTAAACTTAAGAGCACCCAGTTTGTTTTCTATATGATCCGGTTGGATTGTTAGAGGCCAGTAAAGTAGGGGATGAAGGCCCCAGGGAGATAAAATCCCACCCGAAACACGCTATATTTATATCTTCGATTATTCTTTTGTGTGATTCTGTCAGATTAAAGCATTGCTTTATGTTTTAAAGCTGCAGCATGGGGCAGAAGCAGCCTGTTAGTGGTCTGACACTGAATTAAACTGTGGATAAAATTATGTTTTAGCAAAGAAAACATAAAAGCGGAGAATCGAAGGCGTCTTGGCATCGATTTGCATCGAATAAAAGTCGAAAAAGGCTTCACTTTGTGTAATATTTGCCTTTAGCGATTCTGTGAATTCAGCACAAAAACTGCTTGCTTGACAAATTTACTGTACAGGCTGAGCTGCTGCAGTGCTGCAGTGAGCCCGAGACTGACCCCTGCTGGATGAAACGGGAAGGCCTATTCGGGTCTGCATGTCTGCGTCTTTTGAATGATGAAGCAGACAAGAGGGAGCAAAAACGTGAACTATGTAGCCTGACGTATGTTAATGTGTTTACATATATGATTTTATCGTGTGGGTGAGCGAGGTCTGAACAGGTTTGCAATGCAATGCACAAGCTCTGCAAAAATAATCTGTTATATACATACTTTAATGTTTCCCTTTTATGCCAAAGAGATGTGGATATATTAAAATATGTATATGCAGTAATATTACACTACAATGTAATTTTTAAAGCTATATTTGTGGCCTAGGGTCATAAAGGATTCATGTCATGTCATCGCATGCTGTCTACTGAGTGCCCCCCCCCCCATCTCCAAAAACGAACAAACAACGACAACAACAAAAGAAAAACAAAAAACAGTTGCACAAGTGTGCAAAGCGCAATTAAAAAAACGTCCTGAATCATTAAGGCCCAGTTAATATAAGCTTGAAATGACTGAAAATAGAGTCATATAAAAAGCTTAAACCTACTTCTGTCTACCTTGTTTGCATGAAAAAAAAATTATAAATAGTGAGAACTGGGCTCAGAAACATTTATTTATCCATTATTTATCATATCCAGCAGTGCAGGATTTTAACAAATACAAGTGGAAGAAGTTTCCAGTGAGGCTACACTACACTGTACACTGTATCCATCTGGCCTTTTCCTCCTACTTCTTACTCACATCCATCTCTTCACCCCAATTCAGAGTGTGTACCTGAGCGGGCAGTAAGTTGTGTCCCACAGCAGCTCTCTGCCAGCCTCTCCAAGCTGACGTGTATTGATTTCTGATTGGAACAGACTCATGCATCCTGCGGGACAGAAACATCACGTCCATCAAGAACTCCACTTTCTGCACGTTGGCAAACACAGCGGGAAACCTGACAAAGCTGCTAAACATGAGTATGGATGGAAACAAGACATATGTCAGCCCCAGCGAGGAATACTTCAAGTGAGTGAATCCTCTGGCCAAAATAAAATGTTGTTTTCAATTCCTGAAAAAAAGATCTATACATTTTTAGCCAGATTTTAAAAAAATAAATAAATTTATGACTGGATGAAAGACAGAATCTGATATTTTTTTAAAACTATTCTCTGCAGTTCTCAAGCCATCAAAAAAGTGATCATTTTGCTTCAGTAAAAAGTTCATGGACACTTAGATAAGGTTTATTCCTAATAATTCTAGTTTTATATCTTCTTGTTTTATATTTTGCATTTCCTTTTAATGTGACAACACACAAGTACATGTCCAGATAGTTGCCTGAAGCCACAAATTAATCTTTTAATTATCATACCCCACAAAATCACCCACATAGGAGATATTCACGTAAAACACTGCAAAAATAATCTCAAAAATGTACAAAAAAGTACAGCACAATAATAATAAAAAAAAGTCCTGCAGCATTTTATGAAAACATGTTTATGCACACTTTAACAACAATATAAAGACAGAAAAAGCAGAAGGAAAGAAATCAAGTCCGGAGTGGGGTAATCGTACTGTTTTCCATATACAAGGAAAAAAACTGTACAGAGACTTTGTAGTTCTCTTTTATTGCACTCATTCAGCTTAATATCTTTAAACACAACGAGGCTATCCTCGCAATATATAATTAATGATGATTTATGGAGATTTGTGTCAAAAGTTGGGCAAAAAAAGAACCTTACATAAATCTTACATCTCTGGCAGACCCTCTGACATGTTTGGGACTCTGTAATAAATGACTCGGCAAAATGAAAAAACAAACAAACAAACAAACAAAAACAAAAAGTGTCAGCATGAACTTTTGATCTGCATTGTTTTTTGTTTTTTAGACTTAACCTTTCTGTTTGAATAACACCTGCAGGTACAATGTGCTGCACATTTCCAAAGGGATTGAATATCCAGGAGACATCCGCTGGCCTCTGGCCGGCTGTCTCTTCTTGGCCTGGCTCATTGTCTACGCCTCTTTAGCCAAAGGAATCAAGTCATCGGGAAAGGTAACAAACTAAAAACAAAACTAAAACCTGCCTTCCGATGTCTTTCTGCTTGAAGTTTGAAGCTCAGAAGACATGCTGCTATTAGTTTTCCTTTGATTGCGTTCCCTTTAATGATAATATCGCCACCTAGTGATGAAGTATGTGACACACAACCTTTTATGAGGAAAAACTGTCATTTCCAAAAATGTAAAAATAACGCAGATCTGAGTTTATTTCCAAGAAAACATTTCATATGCAAATACCCAGAGTCTAGAGAAACGCAAAACAAGTGCATTAAATTGTGTTTAATAAATTATCTACTTCACAGCAATTCTTTTAAACTCCGTGTTTGAGTTTTTTTCTCTCGTAAGAAATACTTAAATGTTACTTAAAATAACTGAAAGCTATTTTCTTAGTTTAAAGAAAGCAAAAGAAGGAAAAAATAAATACATAAATATATAATTTATAAATATATAAAATGCTGTTCAAGCCCAGGTGAATGTTAGAGCTGCTTTAAAAAGACAGTCTTATGGTCTCAGACCAAAAACAACACCCAGAAACTGAATAAAGTTGCGATTGTTGTATTGTGGTGCCCTCTGGTGGACATAGAGATGAGCTGCAGCACACATAAGCCTGTCACCTTGGAGTGGAGCTTCAGGCCTGTGTCAGAGGTTTTTCTGTAATAATTGTAAACTTGGGATTTTTTTAGTGTACAAATTCCTGTTTGCACCACAATCTGGATCAAAAGTGATCCTAATATAATCCTAATATATATGTTAATAATAGTGTTTTTTTTGATGAGAAACAGCTAACTCTTGAAAAACTAAATGTTTAAAAGTCCACACACAAAGAGAGGGATATAAATGATCTTACAAAGTTTACTGACTTTGACCGTTTTATGAAAAAAACTGTTTTATCTTTGCATGTGTGTGTGTGCTGATGTTGCTCATTTCTTTTCTTTTCTCATTAGGTGGTGTATTTCACCGCCACGTTCCCTTACGTGGTGCTCGTCATCCTCCTGATCAGAGGAGTGACCCTCCCCGGTGCGGCTGACGGCATCCTCTACTTTATCACACCAAAATGGGAGAAACTAAATGATGCAAAGGTAACCAGAATTTCCTCACTGAATTCTACAAACACTAAAGTACAGACAGAAAAGAGGCCTTCCAGTTCTTGCCCTTCTCCTGCAGCTGCTCCTCTCTCCCTCAGGTGTGGAAAGACGCTGCCACTCAGATCTTCTTCTCCCTGTCGGCTGCTTGGGGCGGCCTCATCACGCTGTCTTCTTACAATAAGTTCCACAATAACTGCTACAGGTAAACACATAAAAGGTAAACTATGCTTCTGGCAGACAAATTCCACCTGTCACCACAGATGCATGACGCTATGTCTGAATGTGTCTGAATGTCTGGTAGGATGAAATGTCAGTAATAAATGTGACTTTTTGCAGCAAGCTGTTTCTTTCATTTTTTCTCAATTTGTTCTTCCTGTGCTTTGTTTTATCGCTAAAGTAATCCACATCATTTGAAGCCAAAAAATGCAAATGCCTAAATGTGTGAAACTTTTTTGA